AAACCTGAATAGGCTGATAACTACTGATGAAATGGAAGCAGTAATAAAAAAAAAAAACACAACACCACACAAATAAAAATAAACTTTTAGCAAACAAAAGCCTGATCCCGGTGGCTTCAAAGGAGAGTTTTACCAAACATTTAAAGAATAACTACTACCTATTCTCCTCAAACTATTCAAAAAATTCAAGAGAAAGAAACACTTCTAAGATCTTTATATGAGGCCAGTATTACCCTAATCCCAAAACCAGGTAAAGACACTACAAAGAAAGAGAACATGGGCCAAAATCCCTGATGAACATAGATGCTAACTTCCTCAACAAAATTTTAGCAAATCAAATCCAGCAATACATTAAAAAGATTGTACACTATGACCAAGTGGGATTTATTCTGGGGATGCAAGACTGGTACAATATCTGCAAATTAATAAATGTGATACAGCCAAAACTGGTTTGGCTCAATGGATAGAGCTTCTGCCTGCGGATTGAAAGGTCCCAGGTTCAATACTGGTCAGGGGCATGTACCCTGGTTGTGGGCACATCCCCAGTAGGGGGTGTGCAAGAGACAGCTGATCAATGTCTTTCTCTCTCATCGATGTTTCTAACTCTATCTCTCTCTCTTCCTCTCTGTAAAAAATCAATGAAATATGTTTTAAAAATAAATAAATGTGATACAGCACATTAACAGATTTCAAGACAAAAATAATATGATCATATCAATTTATGTAGAAAAAAACATTTGACAACATCCAACACCCTTTTCTGATAAAAACTTTCAGCCAAGGGAGGAATGGAGGGATCATATCTCAACATAATACCTCAACATAATAAGGGCCATATATAAAAAACCTACAGCCAACATCATACTCAATGAACAAAAATTAAAGCCAGGGAGAAACCAAGATGGCAGCATAGGGTAGACACCCGAATGCAGCCTACCACCACAAATTTGAATTTAGAACTGAAAAACAGGGGAAACATCACCCTGAAGCGCTGGCTGGCTGGCTGAGAGGAGGCTCTACCATCTGGGAAGGAGAAAGAAGGCATGCTGAATCTCAGGAACTGTGAAGGTATGGAGAACTGTGCGCACGAAAAGGCAGCCGCAGAGTTCGCTGCCTGATTGCTTGCGGAGCACGGAGAGGGCAGGACGAGTTCGCTACCGGCTTACTCCCTGCGAACGGAGAGGGCAGACAGCTATTGCGAGGCTGGCTTTCTTGTTCGGGAGGAAAACAGAACCACCCTATTGCGCTGATAGACGGCCCCAGACAGGGAGAGGCCAGACTGTCAGGCAGTGGGCAGAGATCTCTCGGAGGTGTGTGAAGCCAGCGGCCATTACTGCAGGACTCAGAAACCAGATCCTTGTAGGGAGGGACTGAATAAAGCTTGTCTGCACCACCCGAGACTCCGCCCCATCCAAGCAGAGCACAGAAGCCCTTCCAGTGGCTAGCTTCCTCGTTCGCTGCCAATAGGACTCTCCTAGGGAGGGGCAGACAGGAATCTAAAGCTTGTCTGCAACCACTTGTGCGGGATTCAACAAAGCTTGTCTGTGCCACCCTGAGACTCCGCCCTATTTAAATGGAATACAGAAACCCTCCTAGCTGAGACACTTCTGATCCTCATCTCCAAATGGCTTGGAGATCAATGCTTCACACTGATACCAACATTAAGCAAGGCTTAACAACAAGACTGCACACACAGCCCACAAAGGGCTACACCAAGACTGTCCACCTCAGGTAACTGGGAGGCTGACTCACTGAACCATATATGACACCTTAGCACACAAAGCCACCCTACCAACTCAGGGAAGCTGTGAAAATGCTGAGACAAGGAAAGAGATCACAAACAAAAGAAATGGAGGAAAAGAAGAGATTGGATATAGAGTTATATCCAATAACTTAGGTTTTAAGGTTTTTAAAGAATAATTATATTCTTATATATAAGGGTTTTCAAGAATTTCCTAGAAAAGGTTGATAAGACCTATGAGGATATGAAAAGGGATCAACAAGAACTAATAAGAAATCAACAAGAAATAAGGGATCAACAAGAAATAAAGAATACATTGTCTGAAATAAAAAATATTATACAGAGTCCTAAAAACAAAATGGAAGATCGCAAGAATCAAGTCAAAGATTTGGAACATAAAGAGCCAGAAGACACTCCTCCGCAGAAGCAAGAAGACAAGAGAATCCAGAAAGTTGAAGATAATGTAAGAAACTCTGGGACAACTTCAAGGGAACCAACATCAGAATTATGGGGGTCCCAGAAGATGAGAGAGAGCAAGATATCGAAAACAAACTGAAAGAAATAGTGACAGAAAACTTCCCCCACCTGGTGAAAGAATTAGACTTACAAGTCCAGGAAGCGCACAGAACTCCAAACAAAAGGAATCCAAAGAAGACCACACCAAGACAAATCGTAATTAAAATTCCAAGAGCAAAAGACAAAGAGAGAATATTAAAAGCAGCAAGAAAAAAGCAGGTAGTTACCTATAAAGGAGCACCCATACGATTGTCAGCTGATTTCTCAACAGAAACCATGCAGGCCAGACGGGAATGGCAAGAAATATTCAAGGTGATGAAAAGCAAGAATCTACAGCCAAAAATAATCTACCCAGCAAAGCTATCACTCAGAATCGAAGGCCAGATAAAGAGCTTTACTAATAAAAAGAAGCTAAAGGAGTTCATTACCACCAAACCAGAATTATATGAATTGCTGAAGAAGATTCTTTCGGAAGAGAAAGTAAATAAAGATAAAAACTATGAACAACAAATATCTAACTATCAACAAGCGAATCTAAAAACCAAGGGAATTAAAAAAAAATATTTTGAACAATATTAACTGTTGAATATAATAGAATCAGAGTTATGAAAGGGGAGTGAACTGATGATTCTCGGGGAAAAGGGGACAGGGGGTGTGGGAAGAGACTGAACATAAACTGTGCACCTATGGCTGAGGACAATGGAGGGTGGGGAAAGGGCAGAGGGTGGGGTGAGAACCTGGTGGAGGGGAGCAATGATGGGGGGGGGAATGAGGAACATTTGTAATAATATGAACAATAAAGATTTATTTAAAAAAAAATAAATGCTAAGTAATCACAAAAAATAAAATAAAATAAAATAAAATAAAAGTTGGTTTTGAGGATATCCTATATAATAAAAGCCTAATATGCTAAAAAAAAAAAAAAAATTAAAACCATTTCCCCTAAGAACAGGAACAAGACAGGGATGCCTACTTTCACCCCATAGTATGGCCTTAATAGGATTGGGAACATCACACAATTGATTTCAACAAGGACATTCAAATCACTGTAATTGGCTTCTTTTCTTGTTCTCTCCAGAGACTACTATAAATGACCACCATTCTCTTTTGAGGCTATAACTTCCAAACTCTGAGCATAAGGCCTTCTGTCATATTTTATGTTAAAAACAAACAAACAAACAAATAAGTAAAATGACATTTACAGTATATAGAAAACAGGCATGAACTGACTCAACATCCTTCATCTATCCCACCAGACTCAGTCATATCCTTACACTCTTCCCTCCACTCCTACGCTCAAGACAGGCCTCTCCGTCCCAGGCCTTGCTCCTCTGCTTTTGTTCTTGGACACTGACAGAGCAATTATTCCTAGCATCTGTCTAAATTTGTCTCTCCTTTTCTCTGAAATCTCTTTAGACACAGGATTCCTTTCAAGCCACTACTAGTAACCTCCCCACTTTTCTATCTTGAATCCCTCCGCCTAGCAGAGGAGTCACAAAACTGTCTCCACTCCTTGAGTTTTGGGCACTCCTTGATCCCTAGTCCCTGGCTTCTTTTTCTACCAGCCCACAGACATTACTGGAGCCTCAGTGTACATACATCATCCTTCTTACACTGTCTTGATGCAGACATATCCTAAACAGATCCAAAAACTGTGCTCTTCAGAGCTACGTTTATTCTTCCTATTGGAAATCCTTTTTCCTTGAAACACTGCTTTCCACACATTTGCCTTCTTATTTTGATTGGGGTTTTGGTTTTATTGTTTTATTCTTATTTAAAACACAAAGAGATAATGGATTACACAGGGTTGGTAATGGTACACCTCTTACATGCACACCAGCCAGTTTCCTGTCCATGAGTCTTTGCTCTCTCGTGCATCTTTGTATTTCCAAGTGCTTCCCTAGTCCAGTGGTCAACAAACTGTGGCTTGTGAGCCACATGCGTCTCTTTGGCCCCTTGAGTGTGGCTCTTCCTCAAAATACCACAGCCTGGGCGAGTCTATTTTGAAGAAGTGGCATTAGAAGAAGTTTAAGTTTAAAATATGTGGTTCTTAAAAGAAAGTTCAATCGTTGTACTGTTGATATTTGGCTCTGTTGACCAATCACTGCCCTAGTCAATATCTGTAACCATACTCATTAAAGTAATTTGAATAGTACTTATGCATTTCTATTTCCCTCTTTAGACTATAAATTACTTGAAAATAGGCATTTACTTGTCTTAATTGTCTAAGACAGTGGTCGCGAGTCAATGTGGCTCTTTGGCAACTTGAGTGTGGCTCTTCCACAAAATACCACATGCGGGCACGCACGTACAGTGTGACTGAAACTTCGTGGCCCATGCGTAAAAGTCGGTTTTTGGCTCTCGAAAGAAATTTCAATTGTTGTACTATTGATATTCGGCTCTGTTGACTAATGAGTTTGCGGACCACTGGTCTAAGACACCATCTAAAACACTAATGCTCAATAAAATTTGATAAACCCAAACAGCCAAACTTCATTAAAGAAAGCAGTCACATAAGCTGGTTATGACTGAAATTGAATGCTCAACTTGAATGAGCTATTCCATAAATCATCTCAAGAACTTAAGAAATCATTCCATAATTACTTATAGAGATTACAATTCTACTCTCACAATTTTTCCTTCCCACATAAACAGGTAAGCATTTTTAAATTACCATTTTAGATATGTGGGGTTTTAAAGAAGGAGAAAAGCTTTAAAAGAATTTTTAAAAGTGTAATTTCACCTTGAAAGCTGCTTCTTATTTGCTGATTTTTCAGGAGTCCTAGGCAACTTCATCTGTTTCTGGGGGGTATACAAAATACTGTCTGTAGATTTCACCCTTGGGATTATCTGTTTCTCCATAACTTTTCCTCCATCTGATCCAAACTCCTTGGGGTGTTTGTGAGAGGATTCAAAATCAATGAAGAAGACATTCTCTGAGTTATCTTTACTTTCACTATCTGATGAATACTCCAAAATTTCTGTAGAACTTGCCTGAAAAAAATTAAAAGATATGCAATTAAATTTGAAGAACTCTTTATTCAAGTGCTTATTTATACATGTCTATTATTCTATTCCCTTATAATTATAATTAGTAAATAACTTTAAACATACAGTATCTTAAACTTTGTACATACAGTAGCTTAAACTTCTATTTTGATATGAAATCCAAAGTATAAGGTCATATAACCAAAGTCAAGATGAGATTAAACCAATTGTAAGCAAGATGTTCTCTCATAGAATCCACCAAATTAGATACAAATATTCAATCTTCCTCCAATAAACTAACAAAAATGTGCCAGATAGTCAGTTTTGAAAACTGAACTAATGACACCAACCTAAGTGGCTGACGAAAATCACTACAACCTAACACTTATTGGAAAACATGTAAATTTTTTTGGATTTTGAAATTTAATATGAGGTAAATAATATTCAATATTTCTTATGAACCAAAGAAAATTGCCTCTTCATGTGTAAACTACTTAATTTAATTTACCAAAAGTCTCCAAGGGTAAAGATGAAAAGTAGACTTTCCAGCACAAATTCAATATAATATTTTCCAGAGGCTAGTTTTAAATTGCAAATATTATCAGGAACTATATGAGAACCGGAGGCCTGGTGCATGAAAATTCTCTCAGCCTGGCCTGTGTCCTCTTGTAGTCCGGGATCCCTCAAGGGATGTCCAGCTTCCAGCTTAGGCCCACTCCCTGGGGGATCGGGTCTAAACTGCCAGCCAGTCATCCCTCTGGCAGCCTGGGAGCCCTAGGGGATGTCTGGCTGAGAGCCTAAGCCCGCTCCCTGTGGGGAGCAGGCCTAAGTCAGCAGTTGGACATCCTTAGTGCTACTGAGGAGTCGGGAGAGGTTCCCGCTACCACCACTGAGCTCACAGCTTTCAGCCGAGCTTGTGGCTGAGTGGAGCTGCCCCTGTGGGAGCCCACTGACCACCAGGGGCAGCTCCTGCATTGAGTGTTTGCCCCCTGGTGGTCAGTGTGCATCATAGTGCCCAGACCAGTTGTTCTACTGTGAGGGTCAATTTGCATATTACCCTTTAATTATATAGGATATTAAGTCACTGCCTCTTTTTCCTAACATTTCCTAAAGTATTTATTCTTCCCCGGACGCATGTTTCTAAACTACCAAAATAATATTTTGAACACTGGATTACAAATAGAAACTCACATCACATAGCCTAACTGGAGAGGAAAATCATAACTTCTTCTGTGATGTTCTCCATCTTTGCCCGACTCTCAGTAAAACTCTTAAATCTGGTATGAATTTCACTTTCCCATCACTTGGCTTTGCAAGTCAGACCCATGTTGTTCTACTGTCAGCAACAATTCATCCTTCAACACCATTTTTTCCGTGTATTGGTAGCCCCTTTTAATGTAATACCTATACATTTTAAATTTACTAAACTTAAGTTATATATTCAGTTAAATGGAGTTTCTGTGCCTGTATCACTTCATAGGGTAGTATGGGTCCCTCAGGAAGAGCTCTATTTTGATGGCTCAACGTGGATTGTGTCACTAGCACTGAAACAGGCACCTGGCTAAAGAGGGTGAAGAGGCCATGGTACATATAAGGATTATTACCTGTGGGTATATGTATATGCATGTGCATTGGTACATGGAAGTAGCACTAGAATTGTCACCATTTGCTAATCTACATAAGACAAAAGGTTTATCACACTTGGCCTTTTAAAGGATTTTATAGTTGCATCCTCTTTAAGAGCTAAAAAGGACATCACCAATCCCCATATCTCTTTCAAAAAACTGCTAAGGTAGTCAACTGTTACTAGGAACACTTAAAAGAAGGAAAAGTAAAACAAAAAAACAAAAACAAAAAAACCCCTCAAATTAATAGCTTACTTCCTCTACCCTTTTCACAATCTCAGTTACATGCCTAAATTATTGTCGGCAGGTGCTAATCAAAAAATAAGCCCTGTGGTCACATGTTTCCCCTGTGATTCTCATGTATAATTAACAATAGACCATAAAAAATATAGTTAGAAAATTAAGATCCGGGACACTAAAAACTTTACTTGAGAACTCCAAATTTAAGTTCATCTTTTTGTTATGAAATGTCTTTTCATTTAGTTCCCTAAAGTTTTGCATTTCATCCTAGAACAGGGTTTCACAACCTCAGCACTGTTGCCATTTCCCCCTACAAACTCTTAAGCACTGGACCCTTCCCCACGCCCTGTCTCTGCCCTTCCCACCTTCCCACCTTCCCACCCCTGAACCCCACATGAGGAGAACTTCAGGCCCATAGGCCTCAGCCTCACATTCCTGGTCTCAGGCCCACCTACATTCCTTGATCCCTGACATTGGACACTCACACTGTGACGGTCCCCAGCTGCCACCGACCCTACCTGAGCCAGCTTGTCTATGGGACTGAGCCCCAGTGGAAGGAAGGAGAGTGGTCCCAGGCTCCTCGCCCTAGTACAGGACTGAGGAACAAGGGGGAGGACCAGTGAGTGGGCATCAGTGGGCCAGTGCCCACCTACACCCCCAGTGTAGGAACCTGGCTAGAAAAGGCAAGCATGTCTGCACCACCCTCACGGCCACTCTATATTCTTGATCACCTGCTGGGGGAAGACTTCTGTGCTGCCCAACAATACCCCATGTTTGGGGCCCCTGAATGTCCATCCACCCCACCAGGCCAACTCTGCACCCTCCTGGACCCCCTCTGGGTGCTACTAAGAAAGTAAAACAGCAGGTGGGATGCCCCATGTCAACCTTCTGCCATTAAACCCACAAACATAAAAACACAACAAATAAATAATGCCTTTAGCAGTCAATCAAAAAGACAAACAATGCCTTAACCAGCACAGCAAATCCTGTGTCCTTCGCATAGGCATTTCTAAGAAGAATGAAAGGTATAACAAACACCTTTAAGAAAAGACACCTAGAAGCCGTCACTTCAGGAGACTGTATTTTAGAACTCCACCCAAGCCCTAGTCTCAGATGAATGTGGAAGAAGTCTCCTCACGTGGACACACAGAACTACAGCTGACCGGTCACAAGCTGCTCTGGCCCCAGCCTGACGGTCAAGAACACGCTTTGTTTGAGAAAGGATGGTGTTGGAGTGTGTGCTCGTGCATGCATGTGTATAGATGCGTGTGCTAGGGGTGGGCAGGAGAAGGTGGGGAAAAAATCAAATATAGGTCAGAGGAGCCTGCAGGATCATAAGCTCAAATTTATATGTTATATGTTGTTGAATCAGAGTAAAGAGAAAGAAGAGCTTTAAGTGTCGGAATGATAAAGACTTGGTTTTGAATCACAGCTCAGGTTTTTAATTGTTTTGAGACTTTGAACAAGTGACTTCACTGACTCTCGCATTCCTCCGTTTAATCCAAAAATGGAAAATTATTCCAGCAATATTTCAAGAATTACAGATAACAACTTTTTAAAAAATATATTTTATTGATCTTTCACAGAGAGGAAAAGAGAGGGATAGAGTGTTAGAAACATCGATGAGAGAGAATCATCGATCAGCTGCCTCCTGCACACCCCCTATTGGGGATGTGCCTGCAATCAAGGTACGTGCCCTTGACCGGAATCGAACCTGGGACCTTTCAGTCCACAGGCTGACGCTCTATTCACTGAGCCAAACCGGTCCCGGCAACAACTCTTTACTATAAAGTATTTCAAACACATAGAAAAGTATAAAATATATATATATATAAAAACGCATGTTCTCATCACCACCCTATCACCCTTCATCAAATCTTAACCTGGTGCAAATCTTCCTTGGTAGCTTTAATGATGCAGCTCAAACTTCCTGTATCTCTATTACATGTTCCTCCTTCCTAAAGGGGCTTTCTCCTGAGTCACATCCTGTTTTTATTTTTTAATCACACACACTAACACACACACAAATATTGTCTAGTACTATTTTGAAAGCTTTAAAACTTTATATATTATAGAATGATGTTGTTTCACCACAACTCTAAATGACCTACTTTTTTTCATCAATATGTTTTTTTGTATTTATCCATAAAGCTCTATTTCAGAGCTACCCAATACAAGAAACATACATAATTTCAAATTTTCTAGTAGCTAAATTATGAAAATAAAACTGTAATAATGCATTTTACTTAACCAAATATATCAAAATATAATTTCTTTTACTTCTTTGCTCTCATCAGTCACCTTTACCAGTCCCTTCATGGCAATGTCAGCTTTTGCTATCATGCACCTGAAAACTTGTCCAGCCTCTACCCATTACTCAGTTCCAAAGCCACTTCCTCATTTGAAGGTATTTGTTACAGCAGAACCCCACCTCTCAGAATCAATTTCTGCCCACTGTCTGCTCAGGTTGCCATAACAAAATATCATAGACTAGGTGACTTAAATAACAGACATTTATTTCTGTGGAGGCTTTGATTGGTTGAATAGACAACTGGACACTTAGCATATTAGGCTTTTATTATATAGGATTCCTCAGAATACACTAGCACAAATCCAGTAAATTTCCTCTTTCTCTTAAACTAGGTAGATTTGTTTTCAGTTACTTGCAACCAAGAGGCCTAACTATCTGCTAAATACTTTCAAATAGAGAAAATGTTCCATTAAACAAATATTAATACAGTATGCACTAGATGTAAGGCTAATGCAAGATAGAAAATTTAATGATACATAGTTCCATAAAGAGCTTGAAATCAAATAAAGGAGATATTATAAACAGATATTATATAAATGTTTTGAATGGCCAAACAGTGAAGCTTTTATTTCTGACTAACATGAAATTAGCAGACACACTGGAAGAAATAAAACCTCTCCTGGGTTTCAAAGGATTGGAAAATTCTTAATAGATGAAGATGAGAACAGAGAGAACAAAGCATATACGGCAGGAAAGTACAGTGGAAACTTGAGATTCACAGACAATTTCAGACAAATGGAAGTTTAGAGTTTACAGGAAGCAAGAGACAATCATACAAACAATATAAGGTGGGGAGAGGTTTACTGTTGTTCGTGTGGAAAACAATACAA